AAAGCACAATTCGTCTATCTGGATGACTTAACTTTTCTTTATAACCTATAAGCTTAAATTTTATTATAGGAAATTGTTTGAATCCCTTGATTGATTTTGACTATCTCATACTTTGTTAAAATCTATGTTCACTAATTGCCATGGTTTGTGGAAACTGGAAAATTGCACGATGATGATAGAAATTATAAACCTGATATATTATTTAGTTCTAATATTTTTAATGTTATTTCTAACTTTTTTTTTTGGCAAAAATAATAATTAAGTAGTTTTTAAAATTAAATGTTTTTTATGGGATTCCCATAACAATGTACCGAATTATGGATATTGACAACATGTCATATGTTAGTTGTTATATGTAGACATGCAATGATTTACTTTACTATATATTTTCCCTATACAAAACAAAGAATAGATTTTCGACAAAAAAACAAAAAACAAAGAACAAAGAATAGATATGGTATGTAAATTCTTTTGTTTAAGTGGCATTTTCATAGTTTTTAATATTTCCTCAAAAAAATTTGAAACCTATATAAATTTACTTGATAAATTTTCTGGTACCTAAGCGGGTAGTGTTAAAATTAACAAAATTCGATAAAATAATAAAATAATCTTCGAGTTTAACGAATAGTTCAGTATCCATATCAGAAAATTGAACTGTCTCAATCGTTGTTATCGTAGTTCAGCGGTAGAGAGTCTTTTATGAGTTCGCAAGGTCTACAGTTCAAATCTCCATTGATGCAGTTTTTTCATCATTATTTTCTAATAACACGATCTCGTTTTAGAGGTTCCAAAACGACGTCGTTTCGATCTAACTGAAATTTCTAACGAAAATTTAACTTCGTTAACGGAAAAATAACGATATGCCCAAAATAGCTTAGTCAACAAAATTTGACCATTTTTATCCAAAAGTCAAACAAAAGTTCGTGATTTCAATGACATTTCACAAATTCATGTTTTTTTTGTACTAAATTTGATAGTTTGCGATTTTTTTGACATTTTTTCGGTAAATAAAACACAAAAGTTCATTGCTAAATTGGGAGAAAAGAAATTGCATTATCAAGGGTGTTGGTTAAGGATTCTCCTATCTGCATACTTACGCATCAGATAGTTATTGGTAAGAGAAATGTCTAGCTTGAAAACAAAAAAAAATATATATATGAAAAAGTATCTAGAATCTTAAATTAGAAAATCATGTAACATCAGTCACTGTTGTTCTTTCCACGGAAGAAGCAGATATTGATGTATGAAATATATACTAAACGATGTCCAAAAGGTTTTAGGCCACTTTTCATCCATTATCAGTAGGTAACTCTGTTTAGGCCACTTGACTCTGATTAGTGATCCCAAGGTACTAGTTTCTGATTTTTTTTGAACAACCAATTGTCTTTAGAAAGACATAAACTCTTGTTCCAATAAAGAGCCTATACCAACTCTAGCTATTCAATGACACTATTTTAGGGTTTAGCATTTTAGCATTATTGTCCAATGATACAAAAGAGAGAGATGGATATATGAATGTCCTCTCTATCTCGACGCAAGCACACAACAGCTGAAATATCATATAGACAAGGACGTTTTAAGAATCTGGTGGAATTGATTTGATAGTAGTATACAATTGTGATGTATATATACATACAAATATTAACTGTTCTTGGATTTATTGAAAGGAAATGACTTTAAATTACAAGAAGCGTGACCCACACGTTAAGTCAGTCTTTCTTTACTAATATTCTTTTCGATTAGTCAAATAAACCTCATGAACAAGTCATTGGAGCCCACTTAAACTCTACTTTTCTATTCTTCTTCTTTCTTTTTGTTATTCTATATATTAGTTAGCAACTTCCACGTTGTAGCGATGGAAGGATCCAAGCTACTTCCTTGCGTCCATAAGTCTCCGGTTCCCACCTCCCACCAATTATATATAAATTATGAGTTTTTGGGTTTAACAAAACTCAAAAAACACAAATACACCCAAAACAAGATGAGCTCCTCTGACTCTTCTTCCGCCGAATCCCGTCTAGCCACGGCTAAGACGGTTCTCACCACCGCGGCTTCGGTGGCTGCAACCGCAATGCTAGCTCGATCTTTAGTCCAAGATTATTTGCCTGACGAGGTGCATCACTACATTTCCTATGGATTCCGTTCCATCTTTGGTTACTTCTCATCCCAAATGACGATAATCATCGAAGAATTTGAAGGTTTTGCTCACAATGAAGTCTTTGAAGCTGCAGAGGCCTATCTAGCCACCAAGATCTCTCCTTCTAACAAAAGAATCAAAGTGAGTAAACATGAGAAAGAAAACAACTACAATGTCACCGTGGAGCGTGACGAAGAAGTTGTTGACACCTACAATGGCGTCAAATTCCAGTGGATCCTCCATTGTCGTCATGTCGAGTCCAAGCACTTCCACAACCCACGGGATCTAAACTCCACACTGAGATCTGAGGTCCGATCATTCGAGCTCAACTTCCACAAGAAATTCAAAGACGTAGCTCTTGAATCTTACTTGCCATTCATGGTGAAAAGAGCCACGTTGATGAAGCAAGAGAAGAAAACACTCAAGATCTTCACTCTCTCCCCAGAAAACATGTATGGGAACTACTCTGACGCGTGGACCTCTGTTACTCTTGACCATCCTTCTACCTTCAAAACTCTAGCAATGGATTCAGATGTCAAGACAAGTGTGATGGAAGATCTAGACAAATTCGTAAAGCGAAGAGACTTCTATAAAAGGGTTGGTAAAGCTTGGAAGAGAGGTTACTTGCTGTACGGTCCACCAGGCACAGGGAAGTCAAGCTTGATCGCAGCCATGGCCAATCATCTCAACTTTGATATATACGACCTAGAGTTGACCGCGGTTAACAACAATTCTGAGCTCCGGCGATTATTGATTGCCACTGCTAATCGTTCGATTCTTATCGTAGAAGATATCGATTGTTCACTAGAATTGAAAGATAGGACTAGCGATGAACCTCCTCGGGAATCTGACGATATAGAAGATCCACGGTATAAAAAAGTGACACTCTCTGGACTGTTGAATTTCATAGATGGTCTATGGTCAAGCTGCGGTGACGAAAGGATCATAATCTTCACAACCAATTACAAAGAGAAACTCGACGCGGCCTTGCTGAGACCAGGACGTATGGATATGCACATCCACATGTCGTATTGCACACCAAGTACTTTCAAAGCTCTTGCTTTGAACTATCTTGAGATCAAAGAGCACCGCCTTTTCAGCAAGATCGAGGAAGGTATTGAGGCGACAGAGGTCACTCCAGCAGAGGTAGCTGAACAGCTTATGAGAAATGACTCTGTAGACAAGGTTCTTGAGGGTTTGATTGAGTTCTTGAAAGTCAAGAAGATTGAAAACGAACAAGATAAGGCCAAAACAGAGAAGCAAGAGTTGGAGAACAAGAAAAAGACCAAGGAGGGAACAGATTCGGTAGTCAAGAAAGAGGTTGATGAACAGCTAGTGAGGAATGACCGTGTTGATAAGGTTCTTGAGGGTTTGGTCGAGTTGTTAAAAGCCAAGAAGATCGAGGACGACCAAGATAAAGCCAAACATGAGGAGGTTGAACAACATTAACTTGTGAGATATCAATACCTAAATCATTAAATCGCCAGTTACTGTCTATAATCTACAGATTCATTTATAAACCTAGTCCTAAGATAAAATAATCTTAGAGAGTTTGAGACCAAGAAAGGAAAAAAATTGAGGAGATCAGATAAAATACATCTGCATCCGAGTGGTAGCTGTAAAGAGAAGAGAATGGAGAAGTAAAGAGCACGTGTATTTATACAAAACTATGCGTTTAGCTTGTTTTTCCTCTCTTTTTTTTTTTCTAACTTTTTGTAGCACAATTTGTTTTTAGCTACTAAAAAAAAGTTTTAATTTTTAACTTTCCGAATCTTAATTTATGACAGTTGATTTTATATCTCACCGATAAAATAATATCTTCAAGCCACATTTGTGAAATTGAAAATCTCAATGATTCCTTCCTTGTATCGAGAAAAGGAATTGACACTAATTAAATGGGCCAAAATTTTGGCACAACTACACAATTCGTTTAGTCAATACTATAACTAAATGGGCCGTACATGTTTTAATTTTCTTCCTTTCTTTGTAGATGTATAATTTATCTTCTTCATTTTCCTCAATTTCTATTTTTCCTTAAAATTGGGCTTTTGGATGTCATTTCCTTTTCGTGTTATTTCCTTTGAGCCGCCGACTCCAACTACCGTCCATGTACGATCTTTCGTGTTTATATGTATTTTTGTCTTGACTCCTAATCCTAGATGCTTTTTCTTTTCGTCAGTCCTAGATGCTTTACAAATAAATAAAGAGCTTTTGAAAGTTTTTCTTTTCTTTTTCTTTTTTTTTAATATCTAGAAGTTTAAGCCCAAAAACTCTAAATTTTTTAGAGGCGGGACCACACCAGATTAAATTCATCTCATTTGAAGAAGAGATTCCTTGCAACATACCGGAGAACAAAGAAACAGACTTGGAGAAGAAAAAAAAAAACAAAGGAAAAGATTCGGAGATCAAGAAAAAACGAAAAGGTTGATCAACGGCTTAGAAGAAATATCGTTTAGCAAGTTTTTCTCTCTAGTTTTGTTTTATCGAACACGATTTTTCTACCATAATTTTTTTATATAGCATAATTATATTTTGAAAATTATTATAACTAAACCTTGGTATTAGTCTAATATCTTACATTAGTTCCTCCGGTTCATAAAAAAATATTTTCTAGATTTTGTTTCATAATGTTTTATTTTTTAGATTCTATATTAGTTAATATCATTAAGTCAAATGAGAGATATTTGAATTACTATTGGGTAAGCACTATAGTAATTTAAACACAAGCATAGTTAAATCAACAAAGAAAAAAATCAAACAAAGGATGCAGAAACATATATGAACTTGAAAAAACCCAATTATTAGATATTTTGTAAAGAATCATCAAAAATAAAACAATCTTCTTAGAAATATTTTCCAAAATGTTGTCTCGGAGAACATCTATTAAAATTGGAACGATACATAAAAGATTAGTATAGTCCGCATAAGACACGCATAAATCGAAATATAGTCCAAATTATTTTCAACAAAGAAAAAATTACTTTTCAAGAAAGTAAATATTTTGCTAACATGTCATTCTAACATTAAAACTACTATTACAATTTTCAAGTATAAAAGACAAGTCAGCATATATGTTAAGGAGCAAAGACTTTGCATTTTTGCAGCGAGCCAGCGACCAGACTCTAGAAGTCTGTAGGGGCTATCAAGTTTTCATTTTTAACGATACTTTATCAAATGGGCCGTAATCTTGGCCCACTATAGACCATTCATTTAGTGTTCCATCACCATTTAAATAGTAATCTTTCATTCCCTAATTATCTCAATCTTACGATCAGAGGTATTCGTGAAAATTTATTATTGATCGCAGAAGCCTTTCATCAAATAAAAGAGAAGAACTGGTATCAAATTTTCTCCTTAACCTTAACATTTTTTTTTTTTTACTTGTTAAGATTCCAATTTGTGTGCTCATCGTAAAATTATCAAAAGAATAGCATCGTTTGTTTAACCTAATCAGATTTATCCCCACGTAACCTAGTAACAAAATACAGTACTATTGTTCTATAATCAGATTTTTTTTTGGATTAGTTTCTTGTCTCTTTGATTTATGAGAACCGACTTGAATGTATTTATTTTATTTTTGATGATTGAAGGAGATGAGTTCCTCTAGTGAATCTCATCTAGCCACCGCCAAAACAGCTCTCACAGCGGTTGCATCAGTTGCTGCAGCCGCAATACTAGCTCGATCAGTGGTTCAAGATTACATGCCAAACGAGGTTCATGAATATATCTCTCACGGCTTTCGCAGATTCTTCAGCTACTTCTCTTATCAGATGACAGCTGTAATAGAAGAATTTGGAGGTTTTGAACACAACCAAGTGTTTGAAGCTGCAGAGGCTTATCTCTCCACCAAGATATCTAATTCCACTAGAAGAATCAAAGTTAACAAACTTGAGAAACAGAGCAATTATAGTGTTACTGTTGAACGTGATGAGGAAGTTGTTGATATTTTTGATGGCGTCAAGCTTAGTTGGATCCTTGTATGTCGCCATGTCGATAAAAAGGATTTTCGTAACCCGAGAGATCTCAACTCCACTTTGAAATCAGAAGTGCGTAGTTACGAGCTTAGTTTCCGAAAGAAGTTCAAGAACATGGTTCTTGAATCTTATTTACCGTTTGTTGTGGAACAAGCTGCTTCTATTAAACAAAAGTTTAAAACATTGAAGATCTTCACCGTTGATTCTTACTCCGTGGAGTGGACCTCTGTGACTCTAGATCATCCTTCCACGTTTCGCACTCTCGCTATGGATCCCGAGGTGAAGAAAAACTTGGTGGAGGATCTTGATCGATTCGTGCAGCGGAAAGGCTTTTACGGGAGAGTTGGAAAAGCTTGGAAGAGAGGTTATTTGTTGTATGGTCCTCCCGGTACTGGAAAATCAAGCTTGATCGCAGCTATAGCTAATCATCTTAACTTCGATATCTATGACTTAGACTTGACATCACTTAACAACAATGCTGAGCTACGGAGGTTACTTATGTCTACTGCAAATCGTTCCATTCTAGTTGTGGAAGATATAGATTGTTCAATCGAGTTAAAAGATCGGTCTACTGATCAAGAAAACAACGATCCGTTACATAAAACGGTGATGCATTTTGATTCACTATCAGTTATGTTGTTATGTGATCTTTTGCTTATTAGCATTACTAATGTTTTGGTTAGTCATTTTCAGGTCACACTCTCTGGTCTATTGAATTTTGTAGACGGACTATGGTCAAGTTGTGGTAACGAGCGGATTATAGTGTTTACGACTAACTACAGAGAAAAATTGGATCCAGCATTGTTGAGGCCAGGACGTATGGACATGCACATTCACATGTCGTATTGCACACCAGCTGCTTTTAAGGTTTTGGCTTCGAATTATCTCGAGATTCAAGATCATATACTTTTCGAGCAGATTGAAGAATTTATCCGAGAAATTGAAGTTACACCAGCAGAAGTAGCTGAACAACTGATGAGGAGTGACTCTGTGGATAAAGTACTCCAAGGACTTGTTGAGTTCTTAAAAGCCAAGAAGCAAATAAATAATTCAAAAGCTTAGAAGAAATTTAGTTCTTTTATTTGTTTCTTTGTTAAACACTATCATGCAATTATTGGTTATAAAATGTTATAGAAAGTGAAATCATTTTTTTTTTTTTTTCCTAAGTGAAATGCGGATATTGTTTTATGAGGTCAGAACATGTCTAAACTCAATGATAAGATTCTAAAGTAGATTGAGACAAGTTTCGTAGTCGGCAGCAGTAACCAAGAAAACGAGTAAGGTTGACTCTTGACTTGTTAAACCATTGACTTCAATTTCGATAAAGTCTCTATGTAAGCTCATTTTTCTGAAACAAGTTTTGCTAAAAAAATCCAAAGATCTGAAGCTTCAGATCCTTCTCGGCTAAGGCTAAGTCACAACCTTGTAAGTTTACTTTACTTTGGTTAGATTTGTTTCAATGTTCTAGGATTCTACATGTTTCTTGAGAAGATATGGATTAGTTAAAGAATAATCCAATCTTTTGGTTATTGAGATTCTATAGTCGTTGGTTGATTGATTTTTGGAAAGTTCAATCTAGTGATGATACACATAACCGATTGAATTATTGCTTGGTTATAGTGTACCAATTGGAGATATTTCTTGAAGTTGCAGGGTCTGAGAAAATGGTGGACGCTGTTGTAACAGTGTTTTTAGAGAAAACCTTGAACATCCTCGAAGAAAAAGGCCGAACCGTATCGGACTACCGAAAACAGTTGGAAGATTTGCAAAGCAAATTGAAATATATGCAGTCTTTTCTCAAGGATGCAGAGAGGCAGAAGAGAACTAATGAAACGTTGCGTACTCTTGTTGCGGATTTACGAGAACTGGTTTACGAAGCTGAGGACATACTTGTGGATTGTCAGCTCGCGGATGGTGATGATGGGAACGAGCAAAGGTCATCAAATGCGTGGCTTTCGCGGCTTCATCCTGCCCGGGTTCCATTGCAGTACAAGAAAAGCAAACGTTTGCAAGAGATCAATGAGAGGATAACGAAAATAAAGAGTCAGCCTTATTTCAAATTCAGAACGCCAAGTAATGTTGGAAGAGATAATGGAACTGATCGGTGGAGCTCTCCGGTGTATGATCATACTCAGGTGGTTGGTTTGGAAGGAGATAAAAGAAAAATCAAGGAGTGGCTCTTTCGATCAAACGACAGCCAGCTTTTGATAATGGCCTTTGTTGGGATGGGAGGGCTAGGTAAAACTACAATCGCTCAAGAAGTGTTCAATGACAAAGAGATCGAACATCGTTTCGAAAGAAGGATATGGGTGTCTGTGTCACAGACTTTTACTGAAGAACAGATCATGAGAAGCATATTGCGGAACTTGGGGGACGCGAGTGTTGGAGATGATATTGGAACATTGCTGAGAAAAATCCAGCAGTATCTTTTGGGGAAAAGGTACTTGATAGTTATGGACGATGTATGGGACAAGAATTTGAGCTGGTGGGACAAGATCTACCAAGGACTGCCTAGAGGACAAGGAGGTAGCGTTATCGTGACCACAAGGTCGGAATCTGTAGCGAAAAGGGTGCAAGCGAGAGACGACAAGACTCACCGTCCAGAGCTCCTTAGTCCTGATAACAGTTGGCTGCTGTTTTGTAATGTGGCATTTGCAGCAAATGACGGTACTTGTGAGCGTCCCGAGCTAGAGGATGTCGGCAAGGAGATTGTAACGAAATGCAAAGGTTTGCCTTTGACAATCAAAGCGGTTGGTGGGTTACTTCTGTGCAAAGACCATGTCTATCATGAATGGAGACGAATTGCAGAGCATTTTCAGGATGAGCTAAGAGGAAACACTTCTGAAACTGACAATGTTATGTCTTCTCTGCAGTTGAGCTACGATGAACTCCCTTCCCACCTTAAGTCGTGCATTCTCACGCTTTCGCTCTATCCAGAAGACTGTGTTATACCAAAACAACAACTAGTACATGGATGGATCGGAGAAGGTTTTGTCATGTGGAGAAACGGAAGATCTGCAACTGAATCTGGAGAAGACTGCTTTTCCGGGCTCACAAACAGGTGTCTAATAGAAGTTGTAGACAAAACCTATAGCGGAACCATCATCACTTGCAAGATTCATGACATGGTTCGTGATTTGGTGATCGATATAGCCAAGAAGGATTCGTTCTCTAACCCGGAAGGCCTCAACTGTCGTCACCTTGGGATTAGTGGAAACTTTGATGAGAAGCAGATCAAAGTTAACCATAAGCTGAGAGGCGTAGTGTCAACAACTAAGACAGGTGAAGTGAACAAGCTCAACTCAGACTTAGCTAAGAAATTCACAGACTGCAAATATCTTCGGGTTCTCGATATCTCGAAATCCATATTTGATGCTCCTCTGTCTGAGATTTTGGATGAGATTGCAAGCCTTCAACACTTAGCATGTCTTAGTTTGAGCAACACACATCCGTTGATCCAGTTTCCTCGTTCCATGGAAGATCTCCACAACCTTCAGATTCTAGACGCAAGCTACTGTCAGAATCTGAAACAACTTCAACCTTGCATCGTCTTGTTCAAGAAACTCCTTGTACTTGACATGACGAACTGTGGATCCCTTGAATGCTTCCCCAAGGGTATCGGAAGTCTCGTGAAGCTCGAAGTTCTGTTGGGATTTAAGCCAGCCAGGTCCAACAATGGGTGCAAGCTCAGTGAAGTGAAAAATCTCACAAACCTTCGGAAACTTGGTCTTTCTCTGACTCGTGGCGATCAGATAGAAGAGGAGGAGCTTGATTCTTTGATAAACCTAAGCAAGCTTATGTCCATTTCGATCAACTGCTATGATAGCTACGGCGATGATCTCATAACCAAAATAGACGCCCTTACTCCTCCACACCAGCTCCATGAGCTTTCTCTACAATTCTATCCTGGAAAGTCGAGTCCATCGTGGTTGAGTCCTCACAAGCTTCCGATGTTGAGGTACATGTCAATATGTTCAGGTAATTTGG